GGATAATGGAGAAGAAATGGAAACTTCTAAGCGGTTATGTAAAGCCAGGGGCTTAGGGCTAGGGTTTAGGGGGTAAAATGAGGATAATGGAAAAGAGCATGGAAGCTACTACAGTATAATAGGGTATATCTTGGGGCTGTAGTAAGGAATAAGGGAATATAATAATATAATACCCCTATAACCCCTACATCAGATGATTCCCTTATTCCCTGCGAGCCCCAATAAGGCGTGTTCATCGGCCAAGCAGCTCCGAAAGCTGCAGCGGTTCAACAGAAAAGTTTACGGTTGGCGCCCTTTTTGGCATATAGGAGTCTGCGGGCTTTTCAAGACCCCGCAAATCCTATCTGCGGGAAGTTCAGGGAAAGCATCCGGCCTTGGGTTGAAATCCAGCACTTTATGGCAGTCATCAACGGACTGCTGGAACTCTTTGAGCATATAGTAGACCTGGCGTATCCAGGGCCCAAGGACATAGCCCGGCTCGACTTTCTGAATCCTACTAGGATGCAAGAAGCCTACAACATCAAACAAAGTGAGACTCCACCTTACAAGCTTGAAGCCAACAACAGCCGACAGAACATACGCACTGACCCCCTCCCCCCTCCCCCCCCCCTCCCCAAAAAAAAACCGCAGTTCAGTGAAAACGTACAACTGAAAAGCCAAGCGACGGTGGCTCGCTTGTTCCAAGCCTCTGCAAAGTCAGGAGATTCCTTCACAAGCTCGGAGAACACCTGTGGCACAATGTGTTGGGTGGGGTCCAAGGACCCTATCTTAAGGGCTTTAGGTCTCTGCCAGTGGACAGAGAATGCCATCTTACCTTGTGAAGGGTGAATACTGTGCCGAACATGAATACTGTTCTCCTGTTGGAAGCTTTGGACTCAAAAACCCAAAAATCCAAACCCTAAACCCTAAGCCCTACTCCCCGGCCTTACACCTTCACTCACATATCCCCGCGGGCAGTCTAACCCTCCCGAACCCTTAAACTGAAAATCCCTATGCCCTGACACCTACTTTCTATAAACCCTAGGTTCCTGAAATCTAGAACCGAAACCCTAAGCCCTCAAACGTAAGCTCCTGGTCCCCAGGCCCTTAAAATCCCACCGCCCTCTGGGCTGTTGCCTGCAGAGACTCAGAGAGTCGGTCCCCCTCCATCAACGTGCGACCTCCAAG